TACGTTTATCGAACAATATCATAAACGAGACAAAATGAGGACCACACCCTGGTCCACCGCCTATCTCGTCAACTTCTAAAATTTCGAAGTCTTGGTCTTTAAATATGCATTTAATTTAATTTTCTTCTTATTCATCCCACTACCATTACATGAATTTCAGCCATAAATACACGCTAACTTTTGTAAGGGCATTTCCAACTATTTTCTGGCTCAAGAATTAAAAGTCGGTTTTTTTCTTTAAAAAATTGCGATTCTTATATTTTGAAGATACAAGATTCTGATCATTTTCATCATCAATCAGTAAAGTAAATGATACTGGAAGAAATATGTTCAGTAAGATGGCATTTGGTTTGATGGAAAGATTTTGAAGGATTTGGAATTATGGGGACCATCTTTGATGATCAAATGCACCGATGAGCAACTAAATCCATAATCCTTTTCCTCCATCAACCAACTCTATTGATCAACCACCCCCTTCTCCTTTCTCAGGTAGCGGTCACTTGAACAAGATTTACGGTGATGTAACTGTTTAACAAGTAAAAAAGAACACCAAATAATCGTTTCGTATGATCGAACTATCAAGAAAACAAATTCCATAATCATAATAGAAGCCTCTGATTCATGATATTTCACAATTCTCAAATTTGTTAATGGGTTTCCGAAACGACGCATTTGGAATTTCACAAGCAAAATCCTCTATACTGCATCGTTAATCCAAGTCATTAGGATGAAATACTTCTTCAAAAGATAGGTCGATCCATGATTTGCACCAGGTTCGCAAAATATAAAAACCAATTGAAGATTTAAACATGCATATGGACACGATAAGTGTATTTGGTCCTTGCCATCATTTTCTTCATCGATGGATTACAGCCGTAGGTAGCCACAAAACTTGGATTGCAGGTAGTAAAATTGATCCACCACTTCAAACTTGCCATTCTCGAAACACCAATACCCTGTAACCTGTTCGCCGTAGGAAGAGATTGGGTCGGCGAGGACATTCTTGGAGAGGGGACGATGCTGCGTTCGTGATATAGTATTCTTAATGTTTTTCAATAAGAAAGTGAAAAGGACACTATTACTTCTAACTTAATGGAGCAATGGTTAGGGGTTTTTGATTCATTTTTCATTAAAATTTGTATAGATAAAGCTATCTGTATTGATAAAGTTGCTTGTATGATAATAAATAAGTTATTATTTGATTATTGTGCTAAATAAACAGTATGAATGTCAAAAATGAAAATTTTACCATCAAATACCAATATATTTTGTTTTTCAATCAAATAATTGTTTGATAAAATTATTGAATAAATGAATTTTAATTTAAAAAAATATCAATTTAAATCTTTGTTAAATAAAAACAACTAGATTTAATAAATTAATATAATTTAAACGTTTATTTTCTTTTAAAAATATAATATATGATTTATATATTAATATTTTTATTACCGTAATTACTTGGAGATCAATAATGAACCCCCAATTCCATTAAAAGATCCCTAAACTGATGGATGAAATCAGGGAGAGAATCCATGACAGATCGATGCCGGTGAGAGATTCAACGTCGGTTGCCAGTGCTTCAACAAATTGGGAGGCCAGAGCAGGAATTTCGTTGTCAGGTTGAGGTCGGCAAGAGAATAGATCAGTCACATAAGAGATCAGTGAGAGAAGAGATCAAACGGAACTGACAAAATAGATCGCCGGTGACAACTTCAATAGATCGGGAGGCATGTCTCACCAGGGTTTCTTTGAGATAAAAGGGAGGCAGGACTCATTACTCAACAGATGAAATGTTTTTAAAGCTCTCAACGTTTTCACAAGCGTAATTAGGGGGAAAAGTTGGCTGAATACAAAAGACAGATATATTCTAGCCGAGTGATTCAGCCACAACCGGACAACTATTTATTGTTGTGTTAATAAGTCATATTCTTTATACAGCCCATTAAGCTCCTATTGAACGACCTCTTAATGGAGTTCGGCAACAGACCAATCCACAACAAAAGTGAATCCATGGTGATTATACATGTAATTATTTCTTTCCGGGACCCAATCCAGAATTTTCGATAACCCCAAGGACAAATTTGTAATTTACTCTAATTTCCAAAAAACAAAATATAAATAATTAAATTACCATTTTGTTAATTAATCTATATATATATATATATTAAAGAAGAAACCAAATGTAATGAAGTGACACCTTCTAATGCTTAGAACCCTTCTTTTTTTTCTCATTTTTTTGATTTTTTTAAATGTTGAATATGTTAAAGACTTTTTTGCCCCTGGATGAAAAATGTATAGCTCATAATTAACACCGGTTATTTTTGTAATTTTGTATACCCAAGTTTAACCTCCAACTCTTGATTTGTTCTTCCATTTACTTTCTTTTATTTCTTAATGAAATTTGTTTTTTAAAGTTTCAATAATAAACAAAATGAAATCATATAAAATCCTTTAGTGAGGGTTGAAGAATTCAAATATTTTAAAAGGTATGTAAAAATTATATTCATTAAAAAATGTGATTTGTTATTACATACTTCTTTTTCAATATTGTTGGATGTGTTGTTATCATAGGATATGATTGTGTTTACGATTGGATCATATAAATTGTGTTTACGATTTGATCATTTCGAATAAAATTTTGATATTTTATAATCACATGATATGATAAACTTTTTCGAATTTGAGCTTCATCTTTCTTCGAATTTAAGCTTCATCAACAATAATTATTTATACACAACAACTATTTATTCATCTTCATCTCTCACACCCTCTCAAATTATATCTCTATCTTATACATCTCTAAATTTATTTTTTTCTCTTTGGTTTTTCTTCTATTTTACTATTGATAATCT